TAATGCCCCATTTCTTCCAACACTTAAGTGCATGAGGCTGCATTCAGTGTAAGGTGACAGGCTGCATTTATGTGCCCATCGTAATATGTCTGACAATCTTTTATTCTTTCTCCACCTAAATACTTTGCCCGCACCCAGAAAAGTGTCACAATTTCTTCAAATTGTTGCGGATTTTGGGAACCATGTTCTATGAATTGTGACCACACATTTCTTCATGAACTAATACTAGTATGGATCCCAAGAAAAAGGAAACAGATGAATGAAAATAGAATTCATCATGTTGGTTATGGGAGAAGAGAGACTAGAAGACATCTGAAAATTGCAGTTACATCAATATATCACAAACTACATATTGTTTTGAGCCAGTGGTAGACTCGGCTGAGTTAATTGGATTGGAATCCTTGCCAAGCCAACTATAAGGGAACAACTCGGGCCATTCAATATATATATATATATATGTGTGTGTGTGTGTGTGTGTGTGTGTGTGTGTGTGTGTGTGTGTGTGTGTGCGTGTGCGTGTGAAAGCAAGGCATAAAAATTATATATGTAATTTGGATTTTTTACAATGATTTATGAGTTTTTCTTGTCATATGCTCTATTTTTATATTTTCCTTTCTTTTTTTTTTTTAAATGTCTCCAATCATAAAACATTTTTTTTCTAAATTTATGTCATATATATTTTTATGAGGGTTTTTGGACTTCTTATGTTGTATTTGGTTTTGTTTCACGTTTACAATTTTTATTTTGTTTTCAACAATTTTTTATTTTTTATTTTATTTTTTTGGGGACTTTGGGCTCTTTACACTACTCGGCTAAGTCAGTCTACTCAGACTCAGTCAAGTAACTTCCCTCAGGCCAAGCGCGTCCAAGGCCCAAGCTAAGTTTAGAAATATTCTTTTGAGCTAAAATGTTGTGTACATCATCTACCCTCAAGTTTCTTTCAGTATTTAAAATCTCACTGCAATTCAATGTACCATCATCAAGAACCATCTTGTACAATTTCCAATATTTTGTTGCCTGCCAAACAGTTAGATTGAGAACAACTTCGAGTTTAGAGTGAGGTAATAGCACTGCTGCCATGGGACAGCCCATGTTCCTTCCAGGGTCTCAGGCCCACATCGAGGAAGGTTATAGGCAAAACCTATCTGGACTTTAAGGTCAATGCTCCCTCTCTATCCTGCGATTAACCAAGTATAGTGAACAAGAGTTCTCCGAGCAGACCCCAAAATACATCCCTCCTTGGCATTAGTCCTGCTGTAAAGTGGGTTTGCGAAACAGTTATGTAACTTCTAGGAGGTCTCTTTTCCTTTTCTATTGGTCCTAGAGGCAAGAGACACATTGTCCGCATTGCTCCTTACAAGAGACGTTTGGCCCCATCATGCTTCGGGCAAGTGACAACTGACCAATACATCCTGCCTCTTGTCATACTAGTAGTCATTGATGTTCCTTCCTAATGGCATAACCAGTTCTGAACCAGCCACCTTTCTCAGAGGTTTTCTTCTTCTGAGAACTAAAGTTCAAGGCATTGAAGTACTTGGCTTGGCAATAGAACCTTTCTCTGAGGGTGATCCTTCTGTGGGAGCTTCTGCTGTGGGGCCTTCTTCTATAGGAGCTTCCGCTGTGGAAGCTTCTTCCGTGGGAGTTTCTTCTGTGGGAGTTTCCGCTATCAGAATGCCCTCTTCTTAGGGAGTGCTACTACTGTGTGAGTGCTTCACTTCTTCTAGGCAAAGTACAAGTTAGTGAAACAAACTTCGACCCTTTTTATCTAAGCTGGCTGCTGTCAGAACTTTTTCCACAATTACATATGAAACTAAGTCAAATGAAAATTATATTTTACACAAGGAAAACAAGTGTGTTTTTTTTAGATCTTTCACCAAGAGGATGTACATATCTTATTTTCAGCCAAGGCATCTCGAACCCTTACCCAAAACCAGCATCTAATAGTTAAGGTCAAAACACCATCCTCTCCTTAGCTATAGATTTCCATGTTCAGACTTCAGAGACATGAGGACCACAAGTGCTTCCTCAGCCTAGGCAAGTCATGAAGTACATAGTGGCCCCCCCTCAAATGTTGGCTGGATATATGTTCTACTTAGCCACCAGGCAATGAGCCTGGCTCATTAGGTATGTCCAGTCATGCAGGGTCGTGGCTGTTCCTTGAAATATGCTAACACATGAAGCAAGTAAGCCAAATGCACTCATGTAGCAAGCAGGTCAAATGGTCGTGCATAGGCATAGTCACCAAAGCCCTATCTAGTGATGCCAAATAATTAGAAAACTTAGTCAGATATTGTCCATTTACAAGGTAAAAAAATCAAATCAGCCTTATCAATAAATAGTTGACATACTCTCAAAACTTAATTTTGTTATACATTCCACAGTAGTTAACTTACAAGGAAGTGGTCCATAATCTCATATGACAAAAAAAAAAGGACTAGATTTGAAAACTGAACCAAATTAGGGAATTTACACCTCTTCCACTGAGCAAGTAAATGATGGTGTTAAGTGGGTTTCTCCGAGTAGCAAGCTACATCTTGATGCCTCCATTTATCACCATAAATCTCAACTTCCCAACAAGGCATTCAATTAGCCACAGGGCAAATAGGCCAGCTGGGACCTTCAATCCAATTGACAGATTGAGACCATTCATGAAATTATTCCAGGTGCCGCTTTCAAGTCATAGGCTGCATTCCATCCAATGTCAGAAAGTTTTCACTAAATGGGATGGTACATGTAACATATAGCATGCAGCAGATAGCATAGTTATCAAGACCGGCCTGTAACACCTAATCTAACCAGAGCCTAATCTGATCAGTGCCTTGGCTAGTTCAGTCTAAAGCAAAGTTTGATTGAAAACCAGTCAAAAAATAGTGTTTGACCAGTTTCTACCGGTCAGACTGTCCAGTTTTGACCAATTCAACCAGTTAACAAAGTTGAAAAAGTTTTTCTAATGTATTTTATATTTTGAACTATTATCTTATAATTTTAAAAATCTAGTTCAATTGGTTCAACCAGCAATTGAACTGGTTCAACAGACCAGACTCCACACTGGTTCAGTGGCCGATCCGATCCTAATAACTATGATTAAAAGTATAGAACTAGAACTAAGATCTAATGACCCTCAAGGAAAAATATGGATATCCATTGTGAAGGATATTGTTCACTAGATCATTAGCACATAAATATGTAAGTCCTCATCATTGAGGATGTCCTCATTATTGATGCCTCCGCTAATCAATTTGCAAACAACTTTACAGCTTTGCATAGAATCTCTCCATGAGTCGCACATCGCCCCACTCTCTTCATCAGGCTGCATTTAGTGTGAAGTGACTGGCGGGGTGCATGTACGTGCCCATAGTAATATTTCTGACATTCTTCCAGTACCTACATAGTCTGCTTGTACACAAAAAAGGGTTACAGTCTCTACATATTGTCGTTGATTTTGTGCACAATATTCTCTCAACTGTGACCAAAAATTCCTTGACAAACCCATACTAGTATGGACAGCAAATAAAAAGAAAGAAAAATAAAAATTCATCAAGCCAAATGCTCTCATGCAGCAAGCAGGCCAAATGCTACAGGGAGGTATGGTAACGAGCGGCAATCTTTCTATCTCATTTTAGTATTCTAGATTTTTTAAGTTTCTACTCTTCCATGGAATCAGGTTTTCTCCATCCGAGTCATGGGGAATGGAGCAACTGCTTCACCAGACCCAAGCAAGATTCTGTGGGATTATATGCTAGAGAAATGTTCCAGCACCAATTTTTATAATTGGAAGGGGAAGCTGGTTTCACAGGAACAATGATTACTTTGATTAAAGAGCAACTGCTTCACCAGACCCAAGCAAGACTCTGCGGGATTATATGCTAGAGAAATGTTCCAGCACCAATTTTTACAATTGGAAGGGGAAGCTGGTTTCACAGGAACAAGGATTACTTTGATTAAAGCTACAATGACAGACACACAAATACTTCTTGTTTAGATCTAGGCAGCAGCAGCAGCAAGTGGATTGAAACTTCTATTGTAGAGTGGGTACAGATGAAAGAGATAAGCGCTCATCTAGATTGAAATTGAACCGAATTTTTAATCCCTATCAGAAAGTAAGCTCTTTGGATTTTTTGGCTAAGTAAGCTGACAATGTGATTTATTGATGACGAAAGGTAAATATAAAAACACATATACCTTTGATTGTCTCCATCAAATAGAGTACGATAGATCATCATAAAATTCTCCAGGTATCCCACCTCTATAGCAAATAACTTGAAAACCCAAATCACAACCAAACCCAATTTAAAACATATTCTCTGAAATCACATATTGACTCACTCTGTTCGTTCACTGTACACCGTGAACTGCTAATGAAAGGAAAGAGATGAAATACGACTCGCTGCCTACACTGGCGCACCAGTACAAATTCTGGAACTTGCCTCTCTCTGCCTACAATGGCGCACTAGTACTTGCCTCTCTCAAGCAAGTGGTTTTCTTAGGCTTTCCACTAAAAAAAAAGCTCTCGCTTCGCAGTTAGTCTTGTTACGCTTAACAACACCACTCGTATGCTTAGCTCATTGGTTGCTGAGAACCCAAAAAGGGCCCCAAATCACAACCAATTTAAAGCATATTCTCTGAAATCACATATTGACTTATTCAATGTTCTGGAACTCAATTAGAGTTGCAACGCAAAAACCTCTATTCCTTTAATCCACTGGCACAAATAATTTTTCACTCTTCTTAGCGAAGGATCCAATGGAACATAAAAACCATAAAAAAGGATATCTCGCACATAAACAAAGGAACAAAATATATTGAAATAAGTCAAAAGCAATGTAGATGATAAAATGATAACATGGTCACTGCATCAAAGAGAATGAAAAATTGGGCCCCCCAAACAAATAACTGCTATAGCAGCCATGAACATGAAGAGAGAGAGAGAGAGAGAGAGAGAGAGAGAGATTGAAGAAGCAGCCATGAACATGATGAGAGAGAGATTGAAGAAGGCGTACCTGAGAAAGTTGGCCTTTGCTGACAAATCGGTTAATGGAAGATTGGATGTTATGAAGGCCTCTCTGCAAAGCTGAAGAATCGGAGTCAAGAAGAATGACGTCAAACCCACAAGTAGCAGCGATCTGAGCTATGCCAGACCCCATCTGCCCACCTCCTACCACCCCCACCCTCTTAATTTCCTCCATTGATAACTCTCTGTCTCACTCCCTCTCTTCCCAAAAACTCGACTGTTTCTCTCTCTCTCTCTGCTGGATATCTCTGTCAATGCCCTCCCTCTCTCTTTCTCTCTCTCTCCAAGTCCCGAACCAGCAAAAATGGCCTGCAACGTTCATTTGTGACAGTGGTGTGTCGCCGCGACGACTCGAGCAGGGCTAGCAAGCACGACCGGGAACGGAAATCGGCGTAACCGGAAGCTGTCCAGCCTGGGCTACAAAGAGTTTTTAAAAAAATTAAAAACAAATCTCAAAACAATTCAAAAGATACGAAAAGTATATATAAAATATAGTTAAATTAAAAGGGTGCGGTTTACATAGAGCCTAGGCTCTAAACAATTAAATTAGATCCTACCTTCAAATAGTATCGAGAAATATGGTTTCAATACTATAAATCTTTTTGATAGCCTTAAGAATATTTTCATTTTTATTTATAAAGTTTAAAGCTTCAAAAATATTGTAGATCGAGAAATTTATGAAAATCTTGAAAATTGACGATCCAAATATTTGTTGCAAAATATATTATTTTCAAAACATGAAATCCATTTTTTTTCTCCTGTCCCTGCATCTTGATCTTGAACTGATCAATTTGAGGATATTTGGACATCAAAACAACTTCTTGTAGTGAATTTTTGAGGTAGGCTCTAATTCGATTTTTTAGAGCCTCAGCTCTATATAAACTTTTCCCTAAATAAAATACATCTGTATGAATAATGAAAATTTTGATTCGTAGGGATATTTTAGAAATAATCCAAAAAAATGAAAAAATATAAAAAAATTATTTATGGCCAAAATACTTCTCAGTATTTTTAAAAAATATTAAAAAAACCCATGACAAACCATTTTTCTTTTTCCTTTTGTTTTTGCTTGAGCACCTAATCGTTTTTTTCAAGTTCATGGCTTGAGCACCCTAATCGGCCATGGCCTGTGCCCGGTTCTGAGTAACCGGGCCGGGTCCAAATCAACCCGATTGAATTTGTAAACACTTCAAGTTCAATTCCTTCACAATTAAAACAAGGAGATATAGTAGAATGAACCCAAAAAAAGTATTTTATAACAGAGGGTGAAGTTTGCATAAGGTTGCAACTTTAAACAATCAAAGTAAGGTGTACCTCCAAATGTTATCATAAGATATAATTTTGGTGTACAAATGCTTAAGATGGCTTGAGAATCTATTATCTTCTCTAATTATAAATTTTTAAACTTCAAAAATAGTTCGAATCAAGTGAATCAATAAACACATTAAAATATTGAAAATCGACAATCAATATAATGTGTTGTGAAACATACTATCTTTGGACCTCAAAATCTTTTTTTTTTCATATCCATATATGTCGATGTTGAGATGATAAATTAAAATATTTTCCAATATCAAAATAACCTTTTCCAATAAATTTTTTTAAGTCCACCTTAGTTGCATGGTTTAAGGTTGCAATTTTATATAAACTTTTTCTTTTAAAAAAAGGGTATGATTCGATAAGACTGAGACTCTAAACAAACACAATAAGGAACTCCTTTAAATAGTATCTATAAATATTGTTGCAATATTAAAAATCTCTATAATGGCTTTCAATTTTATTTTTATTTATTATATTAAAATTTAAAGCTTCAAAAAAGTATAGATCAAGCATATCTATAAATATACAAAAATCTTGAGAATTGACGAGCTAAACAATGCATTACAATGTGCACTATTTTGATAATGGAGTTGGGGTTGTGGTGGTAGCTTCACTTATGCCCCAACTAACGTGCAGGCTTCCATTCTCATCTAACGCATTAAAAAACCACTAACGATTTAAAAAACAGGTAGGGGCTCATCCTCCCCACTGAATTACTAAAAAAAAATGTATACTATTTTCAAGGTTTGAAGCCTATTTTTTTACATCCATAATGTATTATAACAATCACTTGCACATAATACTTGCACACAACACTCACACATAACGCTTGAACAAAACATTTGTGCATAACACTTGTTCATAACAGTTGCGCATAGCACCTGCATAACACTTGCACATAACACTTACATATAACATTACATTATCTAAGATTTATGCTACAAATATTACAAATTAAATACAAAAGTATGTAAAACTTACAGTTTCATAAATATTACAATTAAATGCAGAAATATCTTTGGGAATATTATAGAAATATCAAATTTTTTCAAATAATCATTTTTCAAGAAAAATGAAGCTACTTACACATAAAACTTACAATATCTAAAATTCATAATAATAAACATAAATATTACAATTTTATTGAAAAATAAAATACCATAATTTATTGTAATCTAAAATTCATAACCATAAACGAAATGTCACAATTTTATTAAAAGCAGAATTACTAATTTTCAAATAATTATTTTTTAGGAAAGTGAGATCACTTACACTTAAAAATGATGAATATAAATATCATAATTTTATTAAAAATGGAATATTTTTCATAAGAATAAAATCACTTACACATAAAACTTACAGTATTGGCAATATTACAATTGAATGCAGAAATATTAGTTTTTCAGTTGTGATTTTATAGGAAAATGAAGCCACTTACGCATATGTCTCTTTGAGATGAGAGATAAATTAAAATACTCAGTTTGATTTTCAAGTCGACCGTAGATCCTTTTATCATCTTGCATATCCCTTCAAGTAGACCGCAGATCCCTTTATCATCTTGAAATGATTTGATAAGTTCAATGATTTTGTTAAGTGATTTCACAACTTAAGCAATTTTTTAATTCTGTTAATTATGGAAACATATTTGATTAGTCCTGTAGAAGTTCAAATGAAAAATGCAAAGACGTAAATTTAAAGGGGAACGCATTTGATTGATGCAATCCTTCAATTTGTAGTTTATTTTTCGCTTCTCACTTGTGACTTTTCAATTGTGCACCTTGCGTTCTTTGTTGACCATTCCCTCACTCCGAAGCGCCGCCAATCACGACCGTCCATCTCGAACCCCAGATCCCCGCTTTCCCAAGTGATCCTGGCCGTTCATTACAGCGACTGGACTATCACCGTAATAGACACCACAGAAATGAAGGAACAAAGGACACGGCGTGCCCACAGCTCTCCTTTTTTAACGACTAGGAATAGAACCGATATATAAATAATATTACGAGGCATTTACGGAAAATTTGGAACCAATCCTGTCCTCTCCTCCCCAGCCTCAACGGCCCAGTTGTAAGGTGTCGGATTTCAAACCAAATAATTTAACCCAGTTTTAGGGAAGCTGTGGAGTCCGCCCTGCGACTATAAAGTCAGTTGTATTGGCTCTGCGCATTTTGCGTTGTCCTATGGATGCCCTTTAGAGTGATCTCTCTTCCTCCGTCATCTTCAATCGGACTTCCACAAGGTGAAAACCCTAGGGTTTCTCCGATCTCTGTATGCCCTATGTGAGAATGTTTTTGTCTTTCTCCATTTTCTGATTCATTATTTGGTAGATCTTCCCTCATCTCAGGTTTTTTACTTCGGATTTAGGTTAAGAGTTTCTGATCTGCAATTCTATAGCTTATGGTTGTCTTTTATGATGTCGTTTTTCTTTTCGTTTTGGTCCGATTAAGATCCGAAATGTAATTTTTGGACTGCATTTCCATAGTCGTGTCCGTTTCAGTTTTACAGTTTTATAGGAAATCTGATTATCGCTTGCATTTCGTAGTTTGTTCTGTGTGGCTAGCTGTGCTTGATGTGAATTTTGATATTGTCCACCTGATTATTGTTTCGTTCTATTTTTTTGCATCAGATCTGTAGGCTATGATTCTCCTTTTAGGTCTTGGTCTTTCTGCTTTCATGGTTTCATATGCAGGGCCTAGCCAGGCCATGTATTCATATAACCTTTGGTTTTTCTTTTTTTTTCATGATTTTATCTGTTCTATTGAATGTTACCCATGAATCAATAGTTTAGTATGTGTTTGCCTGTTCGATATGCTATTTTTTAGGTTCGGATATCTTTAGATCTTGTTATGTGCCTTCAGATCTGCTGATTTTAATTTATTTATTTATTTAGTTGTTTCTGTACAATATGACTCTGCGGACATGTATCGACTTTTACTTAATGTTCTGCTAGATTAATGTCTTACAGCTTTTTTTTTATGGTATTCGTGAACTCTGTTCTTGTATTACATTTTGGGAACATGTTGTATCTGATTCTGATTATCTTCTTTTTCACCTTTCAGTGTAAGTATTATACACCACAAGCACTAGATCCTTAGCGTTTCTAATCCATAAACAAACTAATACAATGGGTGGGTCTCACAAGCCCCTACTAGTGTGGCATACACATGGTAGAATATATAATGTCTGATTTTGTTATTTTTTACTCTTTTTGTTGGTTGCATGTCATTAATTTTTTTTGAGTCTTGGTGTACTATTTTAAAATGGACTGCAGTGGTATACATAAAAGCAAGGGATTGAAATAGTTACTGCTTAACTAGAATGGTATTGAAGAAAATTAATAGTTTCTTGAATGGATATGTTATGCAATTTGATTGTTGCTTCTCTATTTGCTTGAACTGCAATGGTGCTTTGCTTTGTGATAGGTATTGTGTTGAGATATTGCACTAGTAATATATGTTTTTCAATTGGCATTGCATTAATCTGTCATCTGATGAAATATTAATTTGTTGGTCCAATATTGAACTGCCATAAGTAAAATATGACTGTTTTTTAATTTGTAAACCATGAATATGAAAGAAGACTTATAGGATTTTGTAAGATGAAGGTGGGAAATTGGTCAGACCAGAATTTGCAGGGAAAATGTTGCAAAACCAATAGAGACAGCAACATAGTGCTACTTGTATGGGGGGCCTGTCCAATTCATGTTGACTGTGGTTTGTTGTATGCATTTGGTTAAAACGTGGAACTGGCGAGTAACTGCATAGAGAAATGTAAGAGGGCCCCTTGAAAAGCGATACATCAGAGAGGGATGTGTGTTCAAATCAGTTTCAATCCATGTTATTTATTTGTGTTGGGATCAATATTCTGTCTGTTTTTTTTTTAAAATTATTTATTTGTTTGCGTATATTTTCCTTTGGAGCTGTTGCGGGATCTTGCTGGTTTAAATTTTTGTGAGATTTGGGCATAGCTCGAGCTGTGATGCTCTTTTTGTGTTACTGAATGTTCTTAAATGTCAAAAGTCAGATTAGATCTTAGGGAAATTATCTGAATTATCTCTTTCTTCAAATAATTAAAAAGAAAACCTATTTTTTTGAAAACCTTATTTATACCCAGCTTTTTTTGCTGTTAATCTTTTATTGCCCAAAATAGCCAAATCGATTCTATTAGGGCTTGAAGGTCGTCATGGTCTCTTTCTTTGTGCTAAAGTATGATGGTTGTGAAGTCATCACATTTCTACTAGAACTATGAAGGCCCTTTAAGATATAATAACTTTAACCATATGGGCTTTTAAGTTATAAAACATCACTGTTCTAATAGAACCATGATGGTGTTTAACTTATGGGAACCATCACGGTCCTAGCAGAACTGTAATGGTTTAGAACTGTGAAGGTGGGAAGTTTTTAAGTTAACTTAAACCATCAGAATTCTAAAAGAACCCTGATGGTTATTGTTAGGGTAGAGAGGTTATTGCTAGAGAGAGAAAACTGTGACGCTTACTATATCTTAAAAGGCCATCGTGGTTCTAGTACAACCATGATTCTTTATAACTTCACAATCATCATGTTTTAGTGCAAAGAAAGGGACTGTGATGATAAGTGTATTTTAGGCAATAATAGATGAACTGTAAAAAAGGGTATGAACAAGATTTTTTAAAAAAATGAGTTTTTTTTTTTGATATTTTTTGAAAAAAGGGATATTTTTCATAATTTTCCTAGATTTTATGTTGTTAATTGATGTTGGGTCCTGTTGTTTGGTCAGATTGGTACTTGACCCAATTCCTAGGGCTCTCATGAATCTAGTTACAATATCAAAGCTTAGGATGATTCAACATCAAAATCAATGTTTAAAGGTGGGCCTAGGCACATTGCCAAGGCTGTGCTTGGCCAGGAACCCTGAGCCTAGCCCTAGGAGACCCCCCAGGTACTATGTATGCCCAAGGGTGGAAATGTCCTCTTGGCGAGGGGCATTTTCCATCATTCCCTGCCCCCAATAAGGGTAAAGTGGGGGTTTTTTCTATGTCCATAATCCCATATCAACCTTAAAAGACTCAAAAACAATGTTGTCAGATTCGCTTTGGAGTCTTCCTTGGTTTGGTGAGAAAAATGAAGCAATTCGGTGCTTTGGCTGATTGGAGGAAGACTTCGAACTTTTTTTAATTTAATAAAAATAAATCATATATTTATGTATAAAATATATACAAAGAATGTAAAAAATAAAAAATGAAAAAATAAAAAATACTTTTATATAGCTATTTCTTTACTGGCTGAAGCAGACCCGAAGAAGGCCCGAATCATATCCAAGGCGGCAGCACCCGGCTTCGCTTCTCTTCGGTTTATGCCCAAAATCCAAAAGCTTCGGTGTCAAGCGAAGCAAATTTGATAACATTGCTAAAAAAACACAAAAGTTATCATCAAATTTAGAATTTGGTTGGAGAGAAACTTCAAATTCGACGCTTCCAAAATTGAAACCAAATATTGTTATTGTTGTTTATGGACCCTCATTTGAGGGTTATTAGAGAGCTTTTGAGATTGGGAAGCATCTCAAACATTGAAGATTGAGCATAAAAGTAAGTCAAAGGCATTCTTATTTGAGTTTTCTTGTTATTTCGATATGTCCACTATAATTCTTACTATATTACAGGCCTGTTTGCCTGGAAAATCTGGGTAAAGAATCTCTCTCTATATATATATATTATGATCTAATGAACGGCTGAACTCACAATTTGTTGCTTCTCTTTGGCTTTGTTCTGACTACTGTTAGAATGAAGAGTTCAACTTGCCTTTTAGTAACAATGTCAAAACCCTCAACAATAGGGGCTTTTTGCTATTGCCCTAAAGCCCTCTCCTACTTGGGCAATGACAAGACTTAGCTACACATCAAAGCATTCTTCAGTCACTTTCTAGTTCGTTGCGCTAAGGACAAAATTTGCTGGGGCTTTGCTCGAGGGCTACACATCAAATCCCTAGGGAGCGAGTGCTTTGATGTGTATCCTACACTGACAAGTTACTAGATTTGAAAATTAAGTGATTTTTGGTGAACATCATCAAAAAAAGAAAAAAAATGAAGTGATTTTAAAGCTTTTCATTTAGCAATGAGCTTGTAGATGCTGTTACTCATTCCTTGAGGGAAATACTTTTATATGTAGGCAATTCTAATAACACCATTTTTTTGGGTAAGTAATTGTAATAACACACCTGATTAAGGATTTCTGTCTGCTTTCTAAATGATGTAAGTCTGCGAGTACTGTGCAATTGGAAAATGTGATGCTTATCTTTATACCAGATGGCTACATACATATATATATGTATATATATATCATATATACACACACAATGTACTACCGAACTGTCTCCAAACTAGTAAAGTATCTGTACCTGAGTCCCATTTCATGTAGAGGAATAGACTTTACCTGTCACTTGGTGCTCATGAGATTATTTTAGTCTGCATGTTGATGGTTAATGCTATCACCATATTTTGTCACCATATTTTGTCAACTGTAATAGTGACTGCATCTATATCCTAGTTAAATGTTATTATTATTATTTTTTGCATGTTCATGGTTCACCACAGTATCAACACATATCAACCGTAACATTGAATACATTTAATCAGGTCTCCAGAGTTTTAAAACATGGCTGACCACTGTCGCCATCCATCCATCGCCCAGACAGTTTTTGGGCAATCTTACCTCTACTCAAGACTATCCCCAAAGATGCAAGCCCCAAACTGCGGCAGCATCCATCGCATGGCCATTGTTCATGATACAAATCCATTGCCAGCTGTATATGGCAATACGACACTGCAAAACTCGTTCTTGGAGGCTTGCCGAGGTGGCCAGAGCCTATCAATGGCTGCCCCTATCTCGCCTGTCTTGGTCCAAGCTCCCTCCGAGAAAGGTGCAAAAGGATTCGTTATTGATTTCTTAATGGGGGGAGTCTCTGCTGCTGTGTCCAAGACAGCTGCTGCTCCCATTGAGCGTGTGAAGCTTTTGATCCAAAACCAGGATGAGATGATTAAGGCTGGTAGGCTCTCAGAGCCTTACAAGGGTATCGGAGACTGCTTTGGCCGAACAATCAAGGAAGAGGGTTTCCTTGCTCTGTGGAGAGGAAATACTGCAAATGTCATCCGTTACTTCCCTACCCAGGTGTGATACTTCTCTATGGCGGTTTCTTTTGTTTATTCGCATTTTCTTCTGTGTGAGTTGGTCTCTATCCACGAGCTTTTTCTTCTCCATCAACGGTTTTGTTTTTGTTGACTTTATCTTCTCTTGTTGGAGGATCTGTGTGCGCTCGTGTTTATTTATCTGTGCATTGTTTTTGTTGATTAATCTCGGTCCTGTATTTGTGCATTTTCTCCTCTCTTTGGGAGCTTCATATTTGTGCTTCTTTTGATGGTGACATTCCTCTTTGGTTTTAATACCCTGCTTGACTCCAGAACCATAATTACCACAATTGCCGATGTTTGTTGCTTCACTAGATGCTATACAATAATCAAATGGATAATGTGAAAACCATAGTACATTGGATCATCACTAAGAGGTGGTGGATGATGGGGAGTGGGCCAGAAGAGGACATGATCCCAAGGAGGGTGACCTTCTGCTATTTCCTCATCAATATTGTTCATCTAAGATGGACTGATGATGATGATGCTGTGGACAGTGGGTTTTCTTTGGTTCATTGGATTGTAGTATAGTATGTTACATTACTGGGTTCAAAATTGCATCATTATTTATCATTAGTTTGGACATAAAAATTCAAGGTGACTAATTCTATTTCAATAAGCAGGCTTTGAACTTTGCCTTCAAGGATTACTTCAAGAGACTCTTCAACTTTAAAAAAGACAGAGATGGCTACTGGAAATGGTTTGCGGGCAACTTGGCTTCTGGTGGAGCTGCCGGTGCCTCATCACTCCTCTTTGTCTATTCTTTGGATTATGCTCGTACCCGTTTGGCAAATGATGCTAAGGCTGCAAAGAAGGGTGGGGAGAGGCAATTCAATGGCCTGGTCGATGTATACAAGAAGACCCTCAAATCAGATGGTGTTGCTGGTCTCTACCGTGGTTTCAACATCTCATGTGTTGGTATCATTGTGTACCGAGGTCTCTACTTTGGGATGTATGATTCTCTCAAGCCTGTCGTACTTACTGGGAATTTGCAGGTCAGTACCATGTTTGTGCCGAGCCTAGATTGCAGCTTCATTTCATTCTATTTACATGTTTAGAGGAATGGTCCTGTGAATGGGCTGTCCATTTTTCCATCGGATAGGGATTATTGTTGGTAGAATGGGTAACCATTCTCACTCCCTGCTCTCCTCCTCAGACATGCAATCAGAGGCATCTCTCTCTCGCTCTCTACCCACTTGCATCTAGCGGCATCTGCTTTTCTAGACATCCCACCTCCCATATCTTCCTCTCCATTCCTCATCCCTGTACCCTTCTCTCTCTCACACACATAAAGTTGGGTTGTTCAGGCCTTTAAGGCCTAACCTGGTATTTCCTGTTGATCGTCTCTTTCTGCGTGTTGTAGATTGTCTATTTACTGGCTATTGTCTCATATGTTCATCGTGCTTTAGCTGGTTTAATTATACTAAAGAAAAGAAGCTTACATCTGGTTCCATACCTATCTATGATGCGGTTACAGGACAGTTTCTTGGCAAGTTTCCTTTTGGGTTGGGGTATCACAATCGGTGCTGGGCTCGCATCCTACCCTATTGACACAGTCCGTAGAAGGATGATGATGACCTCTGGTGAAGCAGTCAAGTACAAGAGCTCTTTGGATTGCTTTAATCAGATTTTAAAGAATGAGGGTGCCAAGTCGCTCTTCAAGGGTGCCGGTGCCAACATCCTCCGTGCTGTGGCAGGTGCTGGTGTGCTAGCAGGTTACGACAAGCTGCAGGTGGTTGTTCTTGGCAAGAAGTACGGATCTGGAGGTGGGGGCTAATTAGTCTTTTGCACCAGCTACCCCGTTCTCGTGATGGTGATGAAAAGGCATACAGTAACTTTTTTAGATCGATTCTGTGCTTTGTTTTTTCTTTACATGCACTATTCGCCTACCATTGATTGGAGAGGTGTAATTTTGGTTGCTTTTCCCCTTTTTTTCCTCTGAATAATTTTGAGCGGCAGCCTTTTCTGTGTGTCTTTTTTTTTCCAAATTCAGGAGGGAAACTCTGCGGTGATAACAATTGATTGAAATAATTCTATGGCATGTGCTTGATTCTCATGCCCCATCTTGATGCACAACCATAATTTGTTTGGGTCTAGAGAAGAAATATAAATGTGGTTATGGATCCTAGAGATGAAAAATGGTTTTCCGCGAGTAGTTTATTCTCAAACAGTATTATTTCCTCGTTACGTGAGAAGAATTGGAGGTCCTGTGGTCAACTGTATTCCCTACGGTCATGGTTAGGCGATGCCAATTACTGCCAAATTGAAACTTATGGTTTTATGCGGTTATATTTTGTACCAGTTCAAACGACTACTGGGCTTTGGTGTGAGGCTGATTATGTATATTTTAGGTTTGCATCAGGTTGCAATCTTAAACAATCAAGTTGAGGCCTACCTCCAAACCGTCATAAGATGATTTTGGTGTTGATAATTATTGTGATGGTGGGGGAATCTATTTTCCATCTCAATTTTAAATTTCAAACTCCAAGAATGGTTCCATGCAACTAGGTCTATAAACATGGAGGTATTAAAATTGGACGGTTGAGAAAATGTGTTGCAAAATGTAGCATTTTTGGGTCTTAGTCTTTTGTTTCTTCATGTCCATACATACACCTTGGTGTCCAGGTGATTAATTAGATGTTTTTTTTTATATCAAAACAACCATGTTTATGAGATGCATACTAATTTCAAGGTTTAAATCAACTTTTTACGTATGAAAATCTTGAAAATGAACGGCGTAAATGATATGTTGTAAAGTGTGCTATTTTTGAAACTTAAAATCTTTTTATTTTTCATTGTCATACATCTTCATGTCGAGATGATCAATCAAAGGGTTTTTCAATCTTTTTATTTTTCATGGTCATACATCTTCATGTTGAGATGATCAATCAAAGGGTTTTTTAACATTAAAATTACATTTTTCGGTGGATTTTTGAGGTGCATCCATAGTTCTATATTATAAGGTTGCATCTTATATAATTTTTCCTTTATATAAACCCTTTTAAGAAAATGTGTAGTGTGCGATGGATAAATCGACTGTTACTTTAATAGTGGACTTTTGGATAATTCTTTTTTGGGTGGTTCTACCTATAAGGTTACAACTTCAAACAATCCAATTAAGACGCACCTCTAAATTTTATCTTAACATGTAATTTTATAATTTTTCCTTTTATATAAACCCTTGCTTTTAAGAAAATGTTGTAGTGTGAGATGGGTAAATCCACCGTTACTTTAATAGTGAGCTTTTGGATAATTTTTTCTTGGGTGCGGTTTCTATTTATAAGGTTACAACTTTAAACAATCCAATTAAGGCGACCTCTAAATTTTATCTTAACATGTAATTTTGGTGTAAAAAAACTTAGGATTATGTGAAAATATATTTTAATTATTGTATTAAAAAATATATAAATACAGCAATGCCCGCTGGGTTTTGAACTCATGACCTCTAGGAAAGTGAACTCCTGTATAGAGTTTCGAACTGTGACATTGCACACTTTGGGATAGAGAGCAAAGTATTTGGTTGGCCATATGTATTATATGAAGGAAAATTGTTTCATGCAGGCTAGATTGCATTTCTACAATATGCGGTCCACAGGTATAAAACATCCATTTTAAAAATGGATGCAAATAGGTGGTCCATCTAAAAACAATTGTAATTAACGGTCCAAATGTTTTCTTAATATAATTACTATTTCTTTTTTTTCTTTTTTTTTCATATCCATGATCTTCATATTAAAAATCGTATATTCTCTAAAAATTAGTATCAAATTATATTTGAAAAATATATTTATTACCAAGTCCACATTTCAACAATATGCACGCTGGCCGCATAGAAACTGTCCTTATATGAATGTGCCAGAATTGCTCTTCCTAACATATTATTAACACTTGGATACGCTAGATACCAACATGTGTATGAGTATTAATAGAACATTGGTATGTTTCGAGTCTTTAAACCCCCTTTGTAAGGCATTATGTTCTCTTAAATGACAATTCACTGGCAAAATAAGATAGAAGATTTTTACGTGCCAAATCTGACGAGACCTCGGATAAGATCTGCTCGGATTTGTGCACACACTGAAAAAGTTAGATCTATGAAATAAATTAAAACAGAAAATAAATTTCTAAACAAAGAGAGGAGGAGATACTTATCCGAGGAACCTAGAGTTGGGGCACATATCAAGACGGGTTCTTAATACGTTGTAGAATATTGAAGAAGGGGTTTGGAAGGGTTTTGGGATCCTAGAAGGTCTTGTTCCTAGGGTTTTGAATTAATAAACTTTTAGAGAATTTTTTGTAGAAAATTTGAGAAGATTAAAATTAGGATTCTAGTATAGGGTTTTTTAGGATTCTCCTAGATCTAGAGAATATTTTATTATGGGAGGGATAGGTTTTAGATCGAGATGAAGATTGTGGATCCAATGATGCTTAACTTCTATCCACTTCTCTGTATGGGTCAATGGTAAAGCTACTTACTTCTTTAGGGACAAGGTGACCCACTTTCACTTTTTTTATATATACTGGTTGCTGAAAGTTTTAGCGTGATGTTTACGACAACAGTTAGTAAGGGAATCATCTTAGGAATGAAGATTAGTAGTATCTCATATGCAATATGCGAATGACACAATCACCTTTTGTGATCCATGTAAGGAGGAGATAAAAAAATCAGGGATATTTCTAAAGTGTGATGAGTTAGTAACTGGCGTCAAAGTCAATTTTAGCAAGACAAATTTGATTGGAATTGGATGCCAAGAAATAATTGTTGAGAGGTCGATTAATTTTTTGGGATGTGGTGTTGAAAGACTAACTTGCAAGTATTTGGGTATTTCTACAATGGATTCCAATATGGAATCCGGTTTTAGAAAGTTTTCATAAAAAGTTGGATTTAATTGGGAGGTAGATATACTTTAATTAAATCCACTTTGTCCAACTAACCAATGTGATTTATGTCGCTTTTTCGTATGCCCAAACAGATTGTGAAGTGCTTGGAAGGACTTATGAGGAATTTCCTATGGGGGAGCATTGATAAGATTTAAAAATTGCAGTCAGTTGGGAGAAAGTCTATACAGTGGAGAGAGAAGGAGGCCTGGGCATTAGAAGATTAAAAATTATGAACTCTGGTTTGTTAGTCAAATGGTGGTGGAGTATACATACTCAATAAAATGTGCTTAAAGAGAAATATGGGGTGGATGGATGGACTAATTTTATTAAGAGCTCTAACAATAAGTCATTATTATCTCATGTTTGGAAAGGAATGGATTATTGCAGGCCTATTTACTTGAAATAAATGAAAAAAAGACTTTGTTTCGATTTGATAAGAAACTTGATAATTATGCACTAAAATATTATTTACGTGAGGAGTTCTCCAAAGTCTGCAACTCAAATCTACGAAAGCATCATGGTCAAACCACTTCTATTGACCTCTTCTCACATATTCTTGTTTGTGCTTGTATTATTATGTCATAGATTAATAAATTAAAGGGAAAACATCATTCAAATACTTTATTCACCTCAAAAGGTCCATGAGATTAGATCCTATATTTTAGCACACAATTGTTAACTTTTATTTCATTCAGATGCCTCTTCACATACTTTCTTAATAGCGGAATGTTCGTTGCCCTAAATAAATATTTTAACTTCAGCCAAATGATTTAAACGCCCTATTCTAACTCAAAATTCAAAATATATTTTGTTATGAAAACATCTTGTTTTGAGTTTGAAAATAGGAACGGGCAAGATTATTTGAGTATTATTAACGAACTCATTTGGCTAATATGGCCTCCCTTAAAGTCACCAACAAGAAAAGATAGTTAATACCCTGCTTTCTTGGTAACAAACATGGGATACAATTTTTTAACCAAAAAAATTGTTTTGAATTTGAAATCTAGAACGAACAGGGCATTTAAATAATGAGACTGCATACCACAAAATCATTTATCTTTATGACAAGGAGTTCACAACTACTCATAACCATTCAATATCAAATTGGATGGCTTGGGTCATGCCACGGTATTCAATAATTTTCTTTTGAACTTCAAGTCTAGTCACATTCGCCTCATTTGATATCTAATAGGCAAGAGTGATTATGACTTTGTATCAAAAGTAAATGGTCTTTTACAGATTTTTCCTTAAATAATCAGGTTTTAGTAAGGGACCCGGTTTCTATGAGGCCAAGCCCACGTGTGTAGAACTGCGGGCCTATTAATAAATCTATTTTTTAGATGGATTTTAATACTTAATTTTTAAGGACATGTGATCTCTAACATGGAGATCATGAATATGAGAAAATAAATAAATTTTAAAAATTAAAAATACTATATCTAATATGGAAACATTTAGACCGTTAATTTTTATTGTTTTAGACGGAACACCTACTTTGCATCCATCGTTAAGATAGATGCTTTACACTGTCTAGACCGCATATGTAGAAATGCAGTCTAGCCCTCATGAAACAATTTTCCTTCATAAGTTATAAAAGGTTCCTATGTGAAAAGATTTTTAAGAGGTAACTTGGCGATTTAGTTTATGGAACCACTTCATTGATTTTTGATGTGGACACACCTTAAATTAAATTTGGCCCATTAAAGTAAGGAAAGTTAATCGCTGGAGTGAGGGATTAAGCTGAGAATAGTATGACACCCTCTTGTTTCTCCGTAATCCATGTTTTAAATAAGGTGCTGTTTGTATAAAGCCGAGGCTCGAAACAATCAAATTAGAACCCACCTTCATAGTGTGAGATATGTGGTTTCAATATTGTAAATCTTTGATTAGCCTTAAAATATATGTTTATCTTTAATTATAAAATTTAAAGTTTCAAAAATAGTGTAGATCGAGCAGATCTATAAAAATTTGAATAACTTAAAAATTGACGGTCCAAAATACCATGCACTATTCCAAAACTTGAAACCCATTTTTTTCTCAAGTCCATGCATCTTGATGTCGAGATGATCAATTTGAGGATATTTGAGCATCAAAACAATCTCTTTTGAGGTAGGCTCTAATTTGATTGTTTAGAACCTCGGCTTGATATAAACATTTCCTTTTAAAATAATTGACAATCCAAAACTTAACAAATTGATACTCTTAAGCCTAAGATCAGTATCTTAGAAGAAAAATAGATTTAAACCCTAAGCAATGCCCAATCTTGAACACCATCTCAATATCCTATTTGAACTGTCCGTTGAAGCCAACCCTAAATCAATTAGATTCTTTTACCTGAGCTCCATAATCTGATTTGCTAAGTGATAAAATGGATTTCGAATTGCTTAAAGTTGAAAGTGGATATATCTTGCATTTAGATTAGTTTTTGGGTTCTCAATCCATGAAGAAGATGGATTTCAAGGTTAGTTATAGGTTAAATCCGCAAGATTTGAATTCCAAAAACACGCCTAGGTCGAATAGGATTTATCATCAAGAATATGATGGATGAAATGATTGAGAGAGAGTAGCATTAAGAGAGAGAGAGAGAGATACCAAGTGAATGTAGCAGAAAAAGTGAGATTTCAAATCAATAAAAACAATATCCACCACACAAGAACTCCATTACATGCAAATTATATCCAAAATAAGAACATAAATTAAAAAGATCAACAAGCTCAAAATCCACATGCCGGTTGCTTGTGCGGGGTTTTCTAAAGGCACATCCTTGAGAAACCCCTTAAGCTCTCTAATGATGCTCCTTTCCATGGAGGCAGCCCTTCCACTATTTCAAAAAACCCTAATATTGAGGATGTATTAGTGCCTGAAGTGCCTCACTCGAGTAAAGAGAAGGGAAACTCCATACTTGTTGCAACAGTCAATGGCATCCTGATCTCTTATGCTCCCACCTGGTTCTGCTATTACACTTACTCCACCGTCACAAGCTTCCTCAACAGCATCTTTCCAAGCTATTGAAGCACAATTTATAAATATTTCAGAACCCCAGCACAAAACTACGCTCATAAACTTTACATCACTCGAGTTGTTTGTAAAAAAACAATCAGGAACAAAATGTGTAGGTACTCCCTCGGGCAAATGACTTATGTAAGAGGATTCTCTTGATAATGAATTTTGAGATCCATTTTAAAATGGGTATTTTTCAAAGAAAAATAAATAAATGGATTCTGAGTACCTAAACACCTAGATCTGACCATCCAAGAATTGGAAAGTGAATGAGCAATCACATGGAACGTTTTAGACAGATTCAAAAGGTGCGTATATGCACCTTGATTCTATCTAAAAAGGCTCAGATATGCACATTGAATCCGTCTAAAGAGTTGTCCCTTAACTCCTGGCTGTACTTGGGGCTGTAAATTTACATTTTGCTATTGCAATGGCATTTAACCTTTTTGGAAAAGAAAAACCACAACTTAAAAAAAAAAGGGCGCAAAATATTTTCTAGAATTTCTTATCTTCAATTCTTAAATCTCCTACCATGCCAATGAGTTAGAGAGAGTTTAATATTTAAGGAATTCTATACTATGAGATCATTCACCTTTCAGTACAAAGAGATCACAATCACCTTTAACCATCGGATATGAAATCCGATAGCTTGGGTATGTCACACGTTGCAAGAAATTTTATTTTGAGTGTTTTGCCCAATCAAATACACACCCACAACCTGATTTCACATCTAATGATCAATTGTGAATGTGACATCCTTGTGCTACAAATAAACGGTCTTATTTTCCAATACTTAAATTAGGTCTGGTAAGCAAGACTAGATGATTAAGACTTCCCTATTAAAGAGACTACTCTCTCTCCTCCACTCCCCCTTTCTCTGAGCTGCCAAAAAGTTATCAAGGATCCTTACCAAATGGGAAAAAAGCATCACTGGCAAGAGCCGCGCCTCTAGCCTCTTCTCCAGCCTTTTTCATAGCTATCCTAAGACTCTCCACCCTATTTGGCTGGCCACTCCCCATTCCCAGCATGCAGTTATCCTGTCAATCATCACCCCCAAAACTCATAAATTGGAAATTTGGACGAACAGATGTGGAAAGAAATAAGCATCCTCATACAAGAAACAAACAGATTAAGATTCATTTCCCTTTTTTCTCTTTCAGGGTCTCAAGAAACTTTTTAAGTCTTTGAAAATACAACTTAATACTTCATGGTTATCTTGAATGAAAGAACAAAATGACTTATCTGCTATCAAGCCCACATATTTTCATACAAGCACTGTCATACTCAAGATACGACATAATCGCAACAACAGCCTCACAGGGATCTTCTTTTTTATTTTCTATAAGCATGAATATATATATCACTCCCAACAGCTAGTGGAGCTCACTAAGGAAATACATGACAGCATCCCAAATCGAACTTTCCTAATAGCATGGCATCTCATATCAAATGAAAAAGCATACTTCAATCCCAAGGACCATGGAACAATCAAAGCCCTTACATTCATCACCTGGGATAGTGAGGGAGAGAGTGAGTTGCACTAGAATATCACATAATTTGAATGGTGTGTCCACCCTCCATCGCTATCTCTCGTTGGGAGCACCCAGGTGATGTAGTGGGCTGTGTTGAAGCCCTTAGAGGCCTTTTTCTGGCACGATTTGTTGGGCAAAACCAGCATAGCTGGTTGTGGCATTATAGAGCTTCAGCTGTCGTTTCCGAAATGGGCTCACAATGCGGGATCAAACAGTTATGGTCTCTGCAAGTTTCGGGTATAATTTTTAGGGTAGAATAACATTTTTGGGGGCAGAGTTGCTTTAAATTCTTTGTTACTGGTTTAATTTGGGAAATAAAAGCATAGGGAAGATTAATTTGGGTTTTGATTTATTTGTTAGGGATCAAGATAGTAAAACACTTTCGTCTTTAATATTTTCTAAGACTTTAGGAATCCTATTTTGGAGAGAAGAGCTACCTATTATATGAGGTCCTAACATACGAGAATTGCAGGGAGTTTGATTAGTTTTGGAAAAGGGATTCATGCAGGAGTCCAAAAGGATAGGGATAGAGTCCTTTAATGTAGGATTTAGAGAGCGTGTGGGTAACAGAAAGGAGGATATTTGGCATATAAATAGAGGCTATTTGAGAGATTTTTTAGATATGAATAATATTTGGGGAAAATACTATTGAAGGGGTCGAACCCCTTTAAAAAAATCATTAAGGGGTTCCAAAGATCTTAATTAACATTATGGGGCTTCACTTTTTAATTTTCATTTCACATACATATCCCCTTAAAAAAAGTAAAAAATACCTAAATTGCCATCATTCAGGATCAGGAACCTTGAACAAGCAAGAGAATTTCAATAATTTGACCACCTTAAAAACACAGCGGTACTCTAGCCATTTGGTAGGGGCCTCTTAGAATGGTCAAATTACTAAAAAGACCCTTCTTGTCGAGCCTAAATAAGGGAAAATTTGGCATTTTTTTTTTTTTTGAGGAGATACCTGGGTGAAATAAAAAATAATCTAATGATATTTAAGATGCTTTGACCCCCTTGATGATTTTGTAAGAGGTTACGATCTCTTCATGACATTTTCCTTAATATTCGTTTTGAGAGGTCCTGGTTTCACCAAAGAGAGCAAAGAAGCTTTGGCTTGTAAACTTACACCTTCAATTCTCAATCAGAGTTTCAGATTCTTATTTGTAGCCTATTCTTTGTGAATTTTGTTTTGCATCAGGACTGTGGTTTTTCCATTGTACATTAGATCATGGTGATTTTCCTTTGAAATTTGGGTAATGTATAGAAAAGTAACCAACCTTGGCTAATACAATGGCATTGCTCTTCACATGCTTAACACATAGCCAAGCAAATTCAGCATCACGAAGCACAGCTTCTTCAGGAACCTTTTTGGAGACAACATTGAATTCAATGTCTTGTGGGGTTAGATCGTCAGACTCTTGAGCTAACCACCCTCCACCAACTTGTCTAAGGGAGAGCTTCCCTTTCTCATTTTTCTTTGCCTCCAGGATCCTCAGAGTCTTTGACTTGCCTTTAAGAACCTCCAGACCCTTTTCTGTGTACTCGGGAGCAACCACAATCTCATAAAACATTCGTGTTTCACCATCTACTGGGCTTCTGAACTCCCTTATCTCTTTAGCTAGAGCCTAAACAGCAAGAGGCTATTAGTGAATCAAATAAAGGAGAAGGAAAAAATAAATCAAGTTAAAAACATACTTACAAGACCAGTATAAATCATCAGGTAGTACAAGGACCCCAAATCTCATGCAGATATTTGGACCAACTATTTCTGCTGGGTGACTATTTCAACACTTGGAAGTAGTTTAAAATACAAGACAACAATGTTGTGTTAATTTACGAGTTTTTTGAGGGTAAAATACCAAAATATAAATTTCAAATTTGAGGGAGGTAAAGAGACACTTCAGATAAATTTTTTTTTGGCATACTATCACTGCATTTGGATAGAAAATTTATTTAAAATATATTTGCTAGGGTCATTTTAGCAAAATACTAGGGGTAAAATCATCATTGAAAAATGTGATGGGTCCATACACCTGCTTAAGATTCCATATTTCTTGACCACCAGCATCATTTATGCAGGTGTTCCAAGCAATGACCAGATATTTTCCCTGATAATGAACCTTTTTAATAAGAGTGTCTAATTGCTCGAATGGTCTAATTACCTCATCCACTGCAATATTAAATGCTACTATCCCACCAAATGCACTGACTGGGTCTGCTCTCACTGCCAGTCTATAAGCTTCTAAAGCATCAGTCCTCGATGCCACCCCACATGGATTCGTGTGCTTCACTATCACACAAGTGGGGTTCTTGAATTCCGAGACACAGTTCCAAGCTGCATCTGCATCTAAATAGTTATTGTATGACATTTCCTACAATCATAGGCATTTGTTAGAAATAAAACATGTTACACATCAAAAAATCATAAAACAGTAGTGACATCAATCAGATGCATGGCTTCAAGTCTCAAATTTTAGCATGTTAATATGACTTGGATATCAGTTTAATGGCATTTCTGGTGCATTCTATTGTAAAGAGAAAAGTCTCAAACTTCTGATATATGAAACAGCTTTCATCACCTCAAATAACACACAGACAATCATACTCATCAAAGTGCTTCTAGGATTCAGCGCATATGCCCCAACTTGTGCATGCACATGCACACTTGAAAACACTATAAGTTGGGCCCTAGGAACCTGGTAATCTTCCATCTCCAGATTGGTGACAACAAGCTGGCTTTACATGATGAGAAGGCTGATTAGGTTATGAAACTGAGGATAGTGCTAAGGTGATACAAGATGATTTCTGGTCAGATGACCAATTTGATTTAAAGTACAACCGGGCTGCAGGATATCCTTGCCTCTAAGTTGGCCTTTGAGAGTGTGGGTAGCCACAATGTCTACCGTGGATTTGCCTTTTTGCTTTGGTAAACTGAACAAGGACCGCTAATAGAAATGCTTGAGAACAAACTGGGTTCCCTGGAAAACCATTTCTCTTTCATTACTGACAGATTACTCTCATCATGGCAACTCTACAATATTCAGGTACATTACATGAATATCAGGTGCCAATATATGGGACCTTTTAAGACAATTTTTAACCAGGCCTGCTATTAGCAGGTATTTAAACCTTTTGATCATGGCAGTTTGGGGCTTAGGCATCTGAAGCTCACCAAGAAAGCACTTCTTAGGAAATGGCATTTGATACGGGAGTAGGCTTCAAGGATCTATTGGTTTGGCAATCATAGTCTTAAGTAGAACAGAGACATGCCCTTGGTTAAAGCACAGTAGAGCAATTAGGTTTTGGAGGGGCACTTGTTTAGAAGAGAAGAGTTCAACTGGAGATTTGTCTCACATTAGATTCTATTATAATATGTGGCAGGTAAATGGAACCACAAATTTCTCTTTTTGTTTCTATTGATACCCACTGTATGTGTTGCCCAAGGACTTCTTTAAGGGTGGATGGGTGATTTTGGTTCCTTGTTCAAAAAAACTCTTGGGATGAGAAAGCAGATGACATAGACAGGCAACTAAGTTGCCTCAAGTATAACTTGTCCCTAAGGGTGGTGTTGATAACCACAACTTACCTTGAGATTGCAGTGATATAGACTAACAAATCTTTTTTCAATGCCCTGACCAGAAGTTTGATGGTAGCCTTCATTACTTGTCTTGTTTGTGGCATTCCAGCTTCTGGCCAGGTGCTTGCTTTGGGTTGGGTACCCATGTAGACTGGTATTCGGAAGAGTGCTGATCACAAGAAATGAGGTTTCATGCTTTCACATATGCACTTTATAATAGAGTCAGAAAACCATCTGCTCTCCCTTTTGCGAGACAAATTTGGGCCCTTTTCCTAGACCCTATTTGGTAAGTGTTGGGTGAGGATGTTGGTTGATCTCATGAGGTGCGGGTTCCTGGCCCATTTTCTCCAGAGAGGTCTTCTTTGAAAGATATGCTACATGACAACCTCTTGGAAATATAAAAACAATGCAACAATGGGATTTTGAATAGCACGTGTACCATGCAATCTGGTCAAAGAAGGAATAAGATATTTATGTATTTCCATGGGCCATTATCCTTGGGGCCCATTTGGGTAGGAGGATTCCTAGTTTCCAACCCTGGATTTTTAAAATCTATGAATTCTCTAGTTTCCATTGTTTGGCATCTCTAAAATGCTCTATTCCTTGAATCAAAGCTTTCTCAAATAATGTCAGCCTTACCCATTTTCCTCATTATAAAATTCTTGTTGGAACCCACTCTTTTAACTTTTTGAAATTTTAATATTGAGAAAGGAATGCAAGTATTAGAACTAACCTCTCTCTCTGCTTCACCCCCTCCCTGTCTCTCCTGCTCTATTGCTCTCTCTACTCCTCTCTCTCCTCTCTACACCTTCTTTGTACTCTCATCTCTTTCTACCCGTTTTCTCTCTATACCCTTCTCTTTCTACCCTTTTCCATCTTTCTCTCTTTATGCCTTTGTCTCTCTACCCCTTTCTGTCTCTCTCTACGCCCTTCTTTCTCAACGCCCTCTATGTTGGTGCTGGGAAGTTGTTTATACCACCTCTATGTTCAAAAAGGCACAAGTGGGGGCGCCTAGGCGTTTTGGTGGTCTGGCCGCCTAGGAACAGGGGACCTTAGTTTTAAATGAATGCTCGACATAAATTATAAATGAAGAAAAACATAAGAAACTCGATATAAGTTTGAAATGAAGATATAAGATGTTAGTTTTCTCGACACCCTAGTCCCGAGAAACAATGAGTATATGATGTCAATCTGAAAAAAATAATCACATATAACTTCACATAAGAATTAAGATATAACATAATTATTAATTTATCAAATAAAGTAAAACAAAAATAAAATATCAAAACATGACACATTGTACAAAACAAGAATCAAAAGAATTCGATATGGGCCCAATTTCATCATCCAAATGAGGAAAAATTCAATTAATCACAAAAAAATTCACAATCTTTCAACTATAAGTAAATATATCATCATAAAATAAAAAAAAACAAATGATTCACAACATAATACGTTACAACGAAAACAAAGCAAAACCCTTATTCAAATATGATAATGCTTTAAAAATATCAAAATCAAATAGATGTCGGCATGTTGGTGCAAACCTCGGCTATTGAGTCGCCAAAAGTCCTCAAAATCAACTACTAGAAGCTCCAAAAACACCAACGAACTATTGCCTTTGTTTTGGGAAAAAATAAAAAAATTATCGATCTTTCGATAAATCACAGATTTCGAGGCTTTTAGGGAGTTTTAATCTCCCAAGGAGCCACGGATTAGGTTGTGGGGGTTTAGAATACCCCTAAAATCCATAAAGGGGGGGAATTACTAATTTTGAGTTTTGACCCTAGACAAGGGCATTTTTTCTGCCCTCGGTAACCTACATCGAGGTGGCGCCTAGGCGGCTGCCTTGACTGTAGTGCCTAGGGGGTGCCTTGCCCGCCTAGACGGGCGCCTAGATGCAAGCTGCCTAGGTGCCCTGCCTAAGTTCTGCCTAGGCATTTTAGCAATTTGGTGGCCTAGGTGACCGCCTAGGTGGCTAAGCAGCCAATTTTCGAACATTGAGCATGGCAATGATTCAACTGGGCACCACAATGGTAACTCAGATATGCAACATAACAAAGTGAAGTGCGCTGTAGAATGTCGGTTCCTAAAGCTGCGGTCATGGATCTGGAACAGAGACCATGATAGTATGAAATCCAGGCCTTATGGCCAAATTCTCAGGCGGGCCAGATAACTCCATTTTTAGATGATACACTGAGGGAGCAGAGCTCATTAACTATGTTCTTGATATCGAGGGGAAGGAAGCTGAGAACTGTGACAGCTGGTAAATCTTCCAGATTTTCATGAGCACTATAGGCTTCACATCTCTACCGGCTTCAGAACACCACAGGCTCTCTATGAAATCCATGTGCTTCAGCTGCACAGTAAAGGGCATGGTGAGGTCCTGTTTTCACCTAAAAAAACCCCGTTTTCTCCCACTAAAAGCCCTCTCTATGCCACCTCTCAGGCCCAGAGACACTAGAGCAAGTTTGCCCAGCTCTCAAGCCCAAAGATGCTGGGCTCTTTTCATCCTCAATCCAAGAGCTCAATTTTTTTTTCTTTTTTTTTTTGAAGATCTGGTGACAATATATTAATATATAATATGTGCTTTTACAGAAACCCACAAGGTATGGAAGTAGGCATCCCACATACTGGGTGCTCAAATCTGTACAATCAGGGTAGGAGAAGCAGGCGTATGGAAGTGGAGATGAGAAAGTGGAGAAAAATCAGGTAAGTTAGAGAGAGAAAGAGAAGGGGGGGAAGTGGGAGGAGGGAAAGGGATGAAGATGTACAACCCACTATAGTCGTGGGGGAGCAGAGGGAAGACTACAGAGAAAAGATCACTGTAGGGAACCCACATCCCCGAGCTCTATCCAAACCGCAAAATAGCAGACTGAGAAAATATCCAAAATTACAATTGAAAAGATGTGGTTGTGAAGACAGCTCCCTTTTTTGCCAATGAATCAGCTATTGCGTTTGTCTAAATTATTATTAAAGAAAAAATAAAAAAAACTTGAACTTCAAACCCTTGAACTTCAGTTTTCCTCCTACCCAAAGGGGGCCTTAAAGGAATTCCATGCAATCAGGATGAAGGACCCCATCCAATATTGCACAACAATGACAAACAGTTAGGCTCCTAAAAGTATACAAGGGATCCGGACCCAATCGGATCCAAATCCGGATCGGAATATACGTGGGATCCGGATCCAAAAGATTATTTTATATATTGTTTTATATCTATAAAATAATATATAACAAAAAATAATGTATAACATATATATAATATATATAAAATAATATATAATATTTTAATAACGGGGTTGGATCCACCTGTACCTGGATAAATAACATATATGTAAGGAAAAAGTTTATATAAGGTTGCAACCTTAAAATATAGAAATAAAGATGCACCTCAAAAATCCATCAATTTTTTTTTTTGAACTTTGAAAAACCCTCTAATTGATCATCTCGACATCGAGATATATGAATATGAAAAAAAAAAAGATTTTGAGTCCTAGAAATAATGTATCTTGCAACATACTATCTAGACTATCCATTTTCAAGATTTTCATATGTTTATAGATCTACTTGATTTTAACCATTTTTGGAGTTTAAAATTTTATAATTAGATATGAAAATAGATTTTTAGATAATCCTAAGAATTTTTACACCAAAATTACATGTTATAATAAAATTTGGAGATGCACCTTAATAGGATTGTTTAAGGTTGCAACCTTATAGAAACCACACCCTTTATGTAATATACATAAAATAATATATAATATTTTAATAACCGGGTCAGATCCACCTGCACCTAGATCCGATTTGAATTACTCTTCAAATCCAAATTTTGGATACAGATCCAACCCATGGGATCCAAATCTTGGATCTAGATAGGGTCTGAAATTCGGGTTTCAGATCTAAATCGGTTAAATTCTCAGCCCTACTAAATCCATACCTGTCTCCCAATGGTGAAGGCCATTTGAAGGGCTATACCAGATGGGAGTTTCTTTTAGTAATTCCAGGCCATTGGATTTTCTAGGCATCTTCAGAAATGAGCATGGCATACCAAAGATATTTTTAGGACCAACTACAGGAGAAGCAAAGGCTTTGCTAATAGGCATTAAAGTCTTCGCACAATGTCCCTTAGGACCCAGTTATCAAAAGGATATTCCTCTAGTAGTATTAGTTGGGCATGATGCGAACCAGTCCCTCCATGGAGGATCGTGGCCATTCTAAATGAGGTTGCTGAGATACGCAAGTCCTCAGTGATACCTTTCTAAGGCCAACAACCAACCATGAGGCTCAATCTGTTGCCAAGAATAGAGTCGGTTGGGATACTTCAATGTTGGGAATTCTACTCTAACCATTGGGGGAAGCTTCGACTTTGAGGACTATTCATCTTCTTCATTGTACATAACACCAAACTTTAGAGAATACCTTGATATGGCAAACAAAAATTTTGCCATCAAAGCTAGTGAATTGATGCTGCAAGTATCATCAACAATAGAATCATCAGTTAAGCATGGTGCCATTATGTTTCTCATGTGTTGGATATGGGTACCCTCAATTATCTGAAGCAGAGAGAGGGAACGTTAAGAACCCCTGAAAATGAGTTGGGCATCAGAGTAGCATACAGAACACACCCATATACTACTAGCAGCATTTAGAATGGAAAAGGGCCATGCAACCATGGAAAAAGGGCAAGCAATCCATGAATATACTTATTTAAAAAAGACATCCATGAATATACTTCACCTTTCCGTGGTGTTGTATAGCAGTAGCAATTCCACCAGCATTCACCTCAGAAAGGCTTTTATCAACATAAAATGCAGCTTTCTGATGGGGATTTTCACCATATCTAAGTGATGAGTTCAGTGAGAGAGGCACAGTAAAGCTCGGAGGGAACTTATCTGCTAACAAAAATCACAAATGAAGGTGTTAATGTATGGAGATCAACTAGCATTATACCAAAAACAGGTTAAACTAATACCCCCTCCGGATTGCTTCCATAACCATTCTGACACTGCCGAATCATAAGATGCAACATGCTGAAATGCCTTCCATGCCAGCTTCCTGCGGAACAGCTGTCCTTCTTCTTTACCCCCTAAATAATCTAAAAGATCTGGATAATCTTTGGAGTCAACAACGACCAGAACATCCTTATGATTCTGCACAAGCAAAAGTGAAAAAACAAAACCAAACTTTATCACAATATATTGAAGTGTTCAACAGAGTATATTTATAAAGACAATGACCTTAGCAGCAGCTCTGATCATGGCAGGTCCACCAATATCGATGTTTTCAATACCATCTTCAAATGCGATTTGGCTAGAAGAAGAAACTTTCTCATAAAAAGGGTACAAGTTTACCACCACAACATCGAACATTCCTGCAGAAGAAACACTGACAAGGGTAAATTCAAGTATGGGGCATTTCATCTAAAATTCCAAGTGCTACAGGCATTTGTTTTAAGCAAAAGACAGAAGGTTTCCAATAATGCGAAAAAGGCTAAATAGAACTGATTAAAACCGAGAAAACAAAGTGGTAGCATGTACTTGTAGCTACTAGCAGCAAAGCAATAATGCAAGCACAATTTAGGTTTGGTAAAACCAGAACCCTCAACTCACCAATCCCATGCATATTTAGAGCTTCCATGTGATGACACTCATCCCTTTTTGCTAGTATGCCCCCATGAATGTAAGGATGCAAAGTTTTTACACGACCATCAAGCTGTAGAAAGAAAAATAAATGGTACGATTATCTGATCTGATAAAAAGAATACTCAGGCATTTGCCTTTTGTTAAAAGAACATTTGTAATCCATTTGGCACATGTCATTTAACTGCTCAAAGATCAGCAGGTCAAAACTCGAACAAATTACATTCTTATAAATGACTCACCAATCATTTTATACCTTGAAAAATATTTATATAAGATATCTCCTGCAGCGTCAACAGGAATAAGTTGCCATAGAGAAACATCCCTTTGTTTGAATAGGGATAATGGAGCTAGACTCATAAACAAACATGGAGCTCACGTGAAATTCCCAGTGAGAATACATACCAAAGAGTTCAATCAAGAATGCGTGAGGTGGAATTTTTTAATGTACAAAAAATTATCAGGGGAAAACAACTGAAGAAGCCATCATTACATGTAATAAAAGAACGACATGTAAGGAAGCATCAAACCAACGAAGATAGTTGTAATTGCATGCATAAAATTATTCATAAGATATAAATTCCGCCACTTGCGATGTAACTGTGAAGAACAAATGTGGGTTTCAGGTACACTACAATTGCTGCACGAAGATGGCAAATGTACTAAAAGATAAATCATAAAAGGTAAATCCCAAAGAACTATGCCTATTATGATGCAATTATTTATGCAAGTGACAGCAACGAGACCCTAAGTAGTTATTGCGCACATGATATGAAGTTGCATCGCCAGTGATAATGCATCCCCATAAAATATGGGGATGGGGGCTAGAGGGGCAGGTATCTCTTCCCAATTTTCTTCTATCTTCTTATGCTTTATCGAAAAATATGTTTCTTCTTATGGTTTTATTAAAAAAATGTCTTCTCATGAGCCAACACCTCATAGAAGCTAAATACATAATCATTGTTCACTAATGATGATAATGCAGTGGCAACACTCATCCCCACAAAATTCGAGATGGTTGGGAGCGCCAACCCCTTTTAATCATGGTGATAGGGCAATGTGGGGTACAACCTTCAATCTCCATTGCTTTTACTTTGCAAAGATCTATGACCACTAACAGCATCATCCTCATCTGATGATGATGACAATAGAGGCCGTACCCCAGTATAATTCAAGAAGGGGAACCAACAGCCCGCATCCTTGCATTTCATGAGGATGGGATGCTGCTCATGATGAGAAATGGGTAAGCCCTATTACTCTAAGGAAAGGAACACAAAGGGATAGACCAGTCCCAATAGGAGATAAGGAAAAGAAAAAAAAACTATAAATCTACGTCCATGCATTGGTAACTATTTTAAAGAAAACATAATCCTACTAGATGCATTATATGTATTATAGAGTCATCATTTCTGAGATGTCCCCCAACCAAATAACCTTCAGAAAGTGAAGCTTCCTTGTTGTCAGCCCAATACTTGGAAGTATGCCTCTGACTTTTGCACATCAAACAATACTATGAGCATAAAAAGTTTCCTTATATTCTTATAAGCAAGAGTTTGGATTTGTTCCAATAGCTTCACTTTATTGTAATGTCACACAATTTACCAGAAAGTGAGACCGAACATTAGGGATTGCATCTCACCTGCGTTTTATGATATAATTGCAAATCAAGCAACAAAATTGACAGAGATCTACTTCAAGAAAGAAAATGTGGAATAGCATCTAAAGCTGATCTTCAGAAAACAAGATGAAAGATGTCAGAGACTTCAATAGGTTGAGGTTGTATTTACTGATGCTATGACCATTTTTCTAAGATAGGCGAGTAATGACTTTAAAATTGTATGGGTAAAATATCCACAACAAACCAACACACTAAGTTTGCCTGTCGAGAATGCATAAGAAGCCAAACAAAATAATATTTTTCAAATAACCATGGAACGAATAAAGCCTAGAAACATACCATTTCCGGGAAGCGAGTAATTTCTTCCACTTTAGTTACAGGAATTCCAGCTTTTTCTAAACTAGATGCTGTTCCACCAGTTGAAACAATCGAATACCTATAAGCACAAGAAGCCCGCACCAGATAACAATCAATGACAATTTAATTTACTAGGTGAAATCCCAAGCAGAAAATATATATAAGCTTCTAAATGTGCATCTATCCAGCATTTTCAATTAGTTTTATTTCGAAGCATACCATCAGCAATTCAAAATTCAATAGTTCAGGAGACTGATGTCCCACACAAATCAAATGCATGATCTATTTCAATAAAAATACGAAAACATACAACTATAGTGCAAATTAGTAAATGCAGAGAATCGTGGTTGATAATGTGGAGATCCTAGTAACTGAAGCAACTGTTTCTTGTTCGTTGTAACTAATATTGTAATGATTCTGTGAGATTATACAGTTTCTTAGGTGGGACAAAGAGCACATCACCAAGAATGGGAAATTACAAAAATGATTATGAAATAGGTACTAAGCAATATCATGGGAGGTATGTACAAAATTTGGGGGAAGTGTTAAACAGGTGGAAGATTCTCAGTGATGATGATAGAGGGAAGAATAGTTCCTAGGCAAGCCAAGGAATCTGCCTTGGAGTGTGCTTCCCACAAAGTGCATCCAAAGGACATCACCACTCCTTTGCAAAAAATGGAAAATCTGCTTGAAGATGTTATCCTATCTGCATGGGCATAGGGCAGCTTTAGTGGCCCATTGGATGATGCTGAAGGAATATCCTTCAATGAGGATCGAGGATCCTAGTCTCCATTATATAGGGAAAGACCATGAAGAAATGCCAAAGACTCAGCATGTGAGGCATCCCCACTGCCAATGGGACCCATGAGTGATAGAAGAAAGCAAAGTTTCAAAAAGCGCTAGGCTGGTCCTCGGCGGCCTGGGGGTCTAGGCCGCCCAGGCCTAGAACTTGGGTGGCACAGTTGAATCCAAAAAGGATTCTACAGTTATATATTGTATAAAAGATAAGAATTAGGAATTTAGGGCATATCAAAATTCAAAATATACTACACATTAGCACACACTCCATAAGCACAACCATAAGTGAGTCCATATCCAAATAAAACTTAAAATTTACCAACCAAATTACCAAACCAAAGTTACCAAATACTAAACCAGTAGAACTACAAATCCACTATCCACAAGACCACAATACACAATCAAGAGGAAGAAACCAAAAATGAAAGTAATACTTGAAGACTCAGAAGAATCTTCAATATTTCAATCAATGTTCAAAGTTTAATCATTATTCAACTTTCATCATTCATCATCAGAAAAGTACGGTCAGCTGCATTTGCATCATATTCAATGCGCTATCAGAGTCGTCACCCTTGTCGACGTATTGGTCGTCCTCCTCCGTCTCTTCTGAATTTGCCTCTTCTTCCTCCTCTTCCTCCACCCTCATCCTCTGTGTAGAAGATCTAGTAGCTCTAGGAGGGTCAACTAATGTCACTGAAGCATCCATGACCATGTCCCTTGTCAATCCTTCATGCCCCTCGACCTCATCATCATCAACTAACCACTCCATAACATTGTCTATATTTTTTTATCTGATGGGGTCTCTCTTATCCTTGTTAGCAAACTTGTCCTTCAATAATATCTTGGATATCAGGATCAGGGACTAGCACATCTACACACTTATTAAATCCAGACATAATTGTGTTATTTGTTTATATAGCATTGTCAAGATAAAAAAAGCTGGGTTCAAATAATAACCAATTGCATGCAATGGCCGATGTAGCTGCCTATCTCACTTCTCATCAATAATCTCCCAAACAGGCTTGTAGCGGTTCTCATCAGGATCAAAATTTTGGGCTATCTCTCTTTTGCATTTCTCATAGCCTCATACATGTAGCCCATAGAAGCCTTGTCACTATCAACCATGTGAAGGGCTTTGACAAGAGGAAAAAATACCTTAAGAGCACCCTACACCCTTCGCCAAAAAGCCTTAGAAATGATAATATCTCTCACCTTCTTCCCAACCTGATCATTAGACCACTTACATGCTCTCCAGTCATCCGAGGTAAACATCTGCCTCAACTGCACTCTCCTCGAATGTATGCTATCTAGGCATAAGTACCAGGTCACAAATCTCGTGACCCCAGGCCTTACAATCTCTTTCTTCTTTGTAAATCTACGCATCATGTTGAGAGTGACATGGTGGCTATAAATGAAATTTGTAACTGACTTTGCCTTATTCACTGCACCTGATATCTTGCTTAAACCACCAAGAGCCTCAAATATGAGGTCTATACAATGTGCTGTACATGGTGTCCAAAGATTCTAAGATAAGCTATACGTAACAAATTAGCTGCAGCAACATTAGGAGCAGTATTG